ATTTTCCCAACTTTGATAAGTTTAGAAAAGTCTTCATCTTTCAGTTAGATGAGTTTGAACCTAGAACATTTTGGGCAAGATGATAAGAGATAGGTATTGTGGAAAAATGGGAAGACAGTATGAAATGGGATTAGGTAGCACAAAAGAGTGAGCCCAAAAAATGGGATTCTAAGTTTGGGGAAACTGGGCATCAATGTAGTTCAATTAAGAGTGAGTTGTTCACAATGGTTGGAATTGTGAATTTGGCACCATTAAAAGGAATTTCCTAGAGGTCATTGCAATAGAAAAACGCTTCACACTAATTGTGATTCTTGGTCCTATTTTTTTCAAAACATTAAAATCCCCTTCTAAATACCAAGTAAGGTAAATGTGCATTTGATGGAATATAACTCAAGACAAAGGATTCTCTCAGGAACGGACAGTTAGGACCATAGTGTGCAATAAAGACCATTTTAAATGATCATCCATATATCGAAAGGACATAGACATGAAAATGGAGGAATGTTCGCATTGAATTTTAAAACATAGGTTCCCATGAACACATATAGCCTCAGAGGCACCCTGGGCTAGGATTGCTCCCCCACCACCAGATTTATTCTCCAAATAATGAAAGAAATACAAAAAAAGGGCCATGCATTTCTGTTTCTTGGGTTGCTAGAATACGTGGCTGTTACAAGCACAAAAAGTTCAGCGAGGCCCTTTTATTTGTGTCTGCAGGGTTGGATACTAGAGGTGGCAACGACCTTCACCTGAATATGCGTGCTGCCACTTAAGTTACGCCACAAATAAGGTTCTTTAGTTCTTTCGTACCCCTTCGTTGTCCTTTGCATCCTTTGTGATTGTCAGGCTTCCATCTTTTGCTCCTTGGCAGCACTAGCTTGAAATGAATCAGTAATCCTGTCTCCAACGTCAACGGCTGCTAGGCAATGATCCTCCAGAACTGGGTAACTGGGGTTGTAGTTAACAAAGGATGGCTTCTCTGCAGTTAGATTGATTCGTTGGATCTTAAGGTTGGTGGAGGCTCAAGGAAGACATCTGATAGATTGGGGGGTCAACAGGATTTTGGATAATGTTCGTATTTTAAATATGGTTATGATGTGGCAGGTTAGGATTAACAAAAGGATGTCAGTGGATGGGTGGCTTTGATATTTTGTGAGACAGAGAGGCACTGTTGTTAGGATGATCTTTCAAGATTTGAATTCAGTGGCGGGCCGGGTATAGAACTATGTACTGCCACACGTGAAGGCGCGTGCATACTGCTTGAGTTTCTTGGCCACCAGAAGGCATTCAAGGGAGGCACTGGTCTAGAAAAATGCATTGGCAAAGGGAGAATATAATTTATGGGTAAGGTGGTGGAGAGATATTGAGTTTTGTGACCTTTAAATGCTTAGAGAGCTTGTAAAAATGATACTTTATAGTAGAATATGCACTTTAGTGGGAGTTAGTATGTTGACTGACCATGGATTGGACGGTTTATGGCCCTTGTTATGCCAAACCCTTGCCCTTGGGCAAGCGACACTATCGATAAAGGTTTACAATGAGTCATCCTTTGTTGATATTTGTAGGCCAAAAGAACTGTGTGGTCTCTTGTGTGCAGTTATAGCCTATGAGAGCAAGTGCCAAAGCCCCAGCAAACTTCGGTATGACATGTACACATGACAACCGCATTACTGGAAAGCAGCCCTATAGAGGGACACCTGTATATGTGTATAGAGAAAGCCCCCTTTGCATTGTGGTGACAAGGGCTAGACTTGCTCTTCAAGGGGCAGAGTGAAATCCATATTCCAAGATCATGGTTTCACTGTTTATTGACCAACTTTGACAAGCCAGTCATCGGCCCCTGCATTGAAATTAAAATGGGTATTTGTTGGGTTGGATGAGAAAACAATGGTGGATCACAGCTCGTGGATCAAGTGTAATTTTGGCCCATTGGTACCAGTCCACTTCTAAATATTTTATTTTTGGTATTAAAAGCTTTTTTCGTAAATTTTACAAATATTTCAAAATTTTAAAAATTTATTTTTGTTGTAAATTCATTAAAAAGGGTATTTTTCACAATTTTTAGAACTAGGAATGGCACGTGGGGACCAATGATTCAGCCCCCAAATTTGTGTGTCACTCATGAGTGGGACGTGTGGCCTTATGGGGCTCGCATATAAACTACAGGGTGGCATGCCTACTTATTTTGTACTTTTAGTTAAAAATTTATTTAGTTAAGGAGTCTTTTAAAATTAAATAGATTTGTTCCCTATTCAAGTGGGAGTTTTGTTTTTGACCAAAATAAAAAAGAGTATCTTTGACTTCCTATAGATTCTGGAAGCTCTAGATAACACTAAAAGTGATTATAATTCAGTTTAAATAAAAGTTGGACTTGGTCAAATTATAAGGGGATAAGGTTCCTAATTTCCACCCAAAATCATAATGGCTGATTTGTAGGATGGACGAGTTAGATTTAATCTCTCTCACCCCATAGATTTTCTAACATCCTGAAGGTCAAACTGGGTAAATAAGATAGAGCATACTTAGAAGAAATCTTATTTCAAGTGGGAGGAAGATTTTGTTTTTATTTAATCACTATTTGAACCTCTCTCTCAAATCATGACATATCTCTCTCACGCCAAGAAAAAAATCTTCTCTTTCCTCCACACCCCAGTATTTCTCTCTCAATTTTAACTCATGTCTCTCTCTCCTGTTTGCTCCATAGGGCCATGCCACCCAAAAGAAAGATAATAAGGTGGCATTTTTGAAACCCTAGGTTAGAATTTTGCTGTTTTTGAAGAAAAGGAGCGGTAGAGCCAGCCACGAGAGAAATAAACCCTCAAGCCCAGCTCAAAATTTGATCCTATAGGATACCTACAAACCCTGAATAGGTTTATATGCTCTCTAAAGCCCTAGATTGAAAGGCCTTACCTATCTCAGAAATTCCAGCAAGATCTAAAGGATTAAAAGTGCATCATCGGCCAGGGAATCCGGTGTGGAGTGTATCAAGCCCTGGGGGTGGCTCCAGGAATCATTTAGTAAGTCATCCCTGTTGATTTAATTATTTTTCAATCATATTTTATATTTTTCTGTGAATTTCCAGGAACATATTTTATACGTAAAATTACAGAGGAAGATTGAATATTGCTCTTTGATGGTGTTTAGTTTTGCAGTAAAAGTAAAGATCCTAGGTTATATTTAGGATTTTACTTTTAATTTATAGCAGTGTATAGTGACCCATATAAGTGGAATTCAGGTATATCGAATAAAAGAAAAATAAATATTTTTCAATTTACTACTTTTAGTTTCACATAGCCACTTTTTTCAAAAGAGAGAAAAGGGAAGCCTTTGTTGTGGGTAGACCTATGCTGTTGGACATTGTTCACCAGTACTACGAAATTTGGATTTAAATTCAACTTTTGAATCTCACCAGCTGTGCTGCTGACCTGTCCATGTCTCCAATGATGATTGTCCAGCGGATTTTTAGTTTAGATTTTCTCACATGGAAACCACCTTACTGTGCTCTAATCTGCTGGCATTGTCCTTCCGCTTTTGGTTTCAAGCCTAGTCGTTTCTCCAATTTTTCAATTTTTCCCTTCCCAGTATTTTGCATCCTTCATTTCCCTCATGAGTTTGGGAAATTGAAATGCATTAGTGGTTGATTATTGAGTTTGTGTGGAGGGCTATACATGTAATCTTTGTCGTTGCCTAGTCGTTTCTCCAATTTTTCAATTTTTCCCTTCCCAGTATTTTGCATCCTTCATTTCCCTCATGAGTTTGGGAAATTGAAATGCATTAGTGGTTGATTATTGAGTTTTGTGTGGAGGGCTATACATGTAATCTTTGTCGTTTGGTGGATTGGTGTTTCCTGATACCTCTTGCCTTTGGATCTTACCTCTGAACTGCAGTCCATCGATTTTTTCAGATTATTTTTAGATAGTGGTAGTGTCTAGGAGTATTTTAGTACTGATATGCACTGCCCCATAATTTTTCCAAGAGATAGAGCTCCTGTCCTGTTAAATGAATCTTCTGCAAGCTTCCTCGTAGATGTGAAACACTTCAAAGTTAAATGCATCACTAGCTAAGATCCATGTTGAACTGGCATGATGATGAATTTGGTGAGGATGGAGTTCATAGTGAGATAGAGAGGATGGCCTTTTTGAACTTCCATTGTTGAAAGACCAATGTTCTTTCCTAGCCACAAATTTGCATAACATCAGATATAAGCTTCCATTCCTTTTAAATCATGTCATTGGGTTCAGAACTTCATGGAGTACACCCTTAATAACTTCAGAATCCTTTGCAATATCCTCCCCAACCCGGATAGTTGTTTATCCCATTGAGTGGTCATTAATGTAGGTTTTCATGAGGATTACAGGCTACAGGTGTTAAGTTTTTATTTTTTACTGGAGTTCTCTGTGGGTCTAGGTGATATGATTCTAAGGGTAAGATGGGTCTTAATTTTTTTTTTTGTATATGTGGGTCTTAAGTGCTTTTTAATGGTGTAGTTTTGGCTGTTCAAACATGGCTCTGCATAGGAGGGCTGATGTACCTTTGTCATTCTGGTTTGATGGATGGCTTGGTAATATCTTTTTTTTTGAAACAGGTTAACTGATGGCTTGGTAATGTCAGGGGATGGAGTATGCTTCTTTTCGCCTTGAACGTTGCAGAACATTAGGAGCTGGATGATGTCTTTGTGGGTAAAAAGTTAGATGATAGTGCAGGTTTAGTTGGCCTTGGCCCTGAACTAGCCTTGCCTTTGGGTAGGTGAACCGTTAATTGGCCCCATGGTTGAAAGCATCTAGGCTCAAAGGGGTAGGAACCATATGCTGTCCACCAAAAGTCTTTTACTCGTCTATTCCATGCTGGTTGTTTTTTAGAATGCTTTTTATTGATAAAAAACTCTAGCAACTATTATAATAAATTACATAAATTGCTACAATCATCCATTACACTATTAACAGTATAACAATGAAAGAAAGTTTAAACCAAGAACTGTCAAGGCTTACATGATGACTTACCCATTAATATTTAGCAGCAACCTGGCAGTTGTTCTGTGTATGTGCTCCACGAGATCAAGCACAGAATCCACCTAGGATAATAACAAAAGTAGTTTTCAATGAGAAAATTCAAGGCTCTAAGAGAATATAAAGATGCTTCAATCAAATACATAAGTAAAAAACCATGAGATCAGCAAAAACATTTCCAAATAGCAAAATTCATGGGAAACAAGCCAACCATGTTGCGGTAGAAATCTTCAACAATTGCTCCATTGTTTTGTTGCAGCATTGATTGGAGATGTGCCTTAGATCGATATAATATTTGAGCAACATGGGAGAGTGTCTCTGGACCAATACATCTTTCCTGTACAACAACAAAGCAAAATTTGAAGTAAATTAAATCACTATCTTAAGCTACAAAAATTTATATATAGTCTGAGATTGAAATAGGTCACATGCTAACAAGAATTATCTAAATAATATTACTCAAGAAAAAGCTTTTTCAAATTTTTGTTAATTTACGAACTCGAATAAATTTACAAGTAAAAATATACCAAAAGATCAAAAACTCAGATATTTAGTGGGGCATTAAATCCCTATTACCATTTGCATGTCACTATACAACCATATTAGACATCAAATCTTAAAAAATGGACGATGTACAAAATACATGGTCTCAGTAAAATATGAGTTTTCCATTATTGACACTATGAAACGTTAATTGAACAAAAGACAGCACTTCAAACTTCTCAATGACAGAGCGTCATTGAGGAAACCACTTCACTTCCAATATCAACAATATAAAATCTTCAAATTCCTCGAGGAAGAACATTATCATCTCTCTCTCTTTCTCATTCACAGTGACAGGAATAAACTCTCTTTACTCCAATATTGTAGGTGGACAGAATATGGTGAAATGACAAAAAGCAAGAACAAAGAGGAGGCATTTCATAGAGGCCATCATGTCCTTTCTATACAGTGAAGGAGCCTTTTCTCAGCTAATGAATTCATACAGTACACATCATGTGTGTGGTGCAATATACACCTCAAATTCATACAATACACATCCTGTGTGTTGTGTTTATGAATATTAAAATTTGCTGATGAATCTTGCTCCAAAGGAGAAGATACTCGATTCCAAGTTGGTGGAGTCTCAGTTCCATTTACTCATGGAACCATGATTTTGAAATAGGAATCTGGATCCAAGTGACTTGGGATCTAGTTCGTGAATTTCATGGGTTGAGATCCCTAAATCAAAGAAACAGCTGGAACTAGGACAACTTGTCCTGGAGCACAAGATCAAGCTTCCAGAGTGGGAGCAACTACCTCCTTGGAAGATCCCCGTAGCTACATACCAGCATACCCTGCTATTCCCCATAAGGAGAATCAATATGATGGACACTATTCATGCTGTTGACTCATTTGTGAAAACTCTTCTTCCAAGTCCATCACAGCATAAGTCTAAAGTATCATCCGCTAACTTTTTTCATCACTGGGCCAAGCTAAAATCAAGCCATCATCATCTCTAATGCAATTTACTGCATCCTCTAAACCAAATGAGTGTGTTGTTGGTAGTTGCATGAGCAGATCAGATGCATCCAGAAGCCATTATAAGCACGAGATAAGCACTAGCATTCACCCATGCTAACAATTTTAAGACCCATAAATAGTGGTGGAAACTGGCTATTCATTACGAGCAAAATGGTATCTTTGCAGTGTTTCAGTACAAAGCTCCATGTCCAAAACAGCCCCAGAGTAATTAGGTCAGTCATTCAGTAAGTTAAAATATGATGCCCGGGCTCAGCAAATGTCAGGGTTCCTTAGGTTGAAGAGGAAAATCAAGGAAATGCGTTCATTGCACCTTGAAGGGGCAGCACAGCATGATATTCAGTTGTAGTAAGATAATTGGGCTGTGTCCTTTCTTTCCAATCACAGAATACATCTCAAGTCAATCCACCAATTTATTTATACCAGTATTACTATTGATGAAACCTCTAATCCCATGTCCAAGAAAGAACAACAATTTAGAAATTGTTGACTGTTGCTTATTTCTAGGGAAATACGCCTAATTCCATTGGGGAAGCTTAATTAAGAGGGATCTGTGGAGACTGCTCATTCACAAAGTCTCCATCCTAGAGCAATGATTCTGAGTTTGACAGGTTTGCTAATCTTCATATCCATTGGCACACAAGCCATCATTGAAAAAAAGACTAAATGCGATCTTGGCGAGGGATATATTTTTTTATTTTTCATCTTTTTCACCCCTTTTCTTTTCATTTTCTTTTCTTTTGGCAAAGAACACTTACAAGTAGTCTTATTACAATAACTCTTGCTTCAAAAAAAATAAAACTAACAAATCCAAGATCTTAAAAACCTTGATGTCACTAAACCAATTTTTTTTAATCAAATAAAATAACCACAATTCTTATGCTTGAGAATATAAAGACTAAATAATTAAATTTGGTAAGAAACAAAAAGAGAGTGCCAGAGATTACCTCAACCAGACTTCCTACACCCCACACCGAGTCACCACCATCCAATGGCGTGGGATCAATGATGAACCTTCAATCTCAAACCGGGAAAGCAAGTTTAGACCAAAACCCTCCAATGGAACTTTGAACTCCTCTTAGATCACAAATCTCAAACTTAGGTTCAAACCCACAAAACCTAGCTCAAGAGAGATAGCATCTACTTACTACTACCCAACCCTTAGGATCAACACCACCATAACATAAGCCAAGAGAGAGAGAGAGATCTAGGTGGGGCGTGCCCCCTCTTACAAAACTTTGGAAGAGAGAGAGCTTCTAAGCTGGGGCATGCCCCTTTAGGCTTTAGAGACAACATTGTTCAAAAAAGCGGACGGCCCAACGCCTAAGCAGTCTAGAAGGCCTGGGCACATCGCACAGGCTTAGGCAGCAGTCCCTGGGCAGCTGCCTAGGCGGTACGGTACCCGCCTAGGTAGGCGGCCACCCAGGGCCTGCGCCCTGCCTAAGGGCAAAAATGAGTATTTTTTTTTTCTATTGAGTTTTTTTGAAACATAAAAGCTTTTAAGGATGGGTTTTAGGTTCATTTTGAAACCTAACCCACAAGAACCCATTTTAGATAGAAAGAAACCTCAAAAAAATAGATTTTGTGATTTTCATTGGATCGAAGTGTTTCTCAAAGTTACGAAAAACGGATCCAAACATCACCCAGGTAGAGTTTGGGAGTTTTTTAATCCTATTAGAGGGTGTTTTTTTATTATTTTAGCACCAGAAAACATCTCAAAGGTGGGAGTTTAGAATTCGAGCAATCAAAGTAAGTGCAAAACTTTATTTCTTTGATTGCTTGTCTTATTTCGAGATGTCTTCTTCAGAGTGGAGATCTGGGTTGGAAATATGGATATAACCCGAATCCAAATGAAAAAATTGCATTAAATGCAATTATTGTGAAAAAGATACAAAATAGGGCATAAACCAGTTTAAGAAACATCTTGTCAGTATTAAGGGGGATGTTGTCCCGTGTATAAATGTTCTTGAGGCTACCAAGGAGGAGATTATACAATATTTGAGTTCAGGGAAGCAGAAAGGATAAAAAAGGGTAGAGCAGCCAAGACTCCTAGGGCCTCATTTGCACATAGTAAGAGGGAGGTAGAAGAAGAGGAGGAAGATGCAGATTCAGAAGAAATAGAGGAGGACGATCGTTATCTTGAAGAGAGACATGACTCTGATGATGATAGCCTCAAATCTGATGCATATGATGAGGCTTACCCTATTCTTTTTGATGATGATGACTGAAGAATGAAGAGTTGAAGACGCTTGAGTGCTTGACTCTTGGTGTTGACTGTTAAGTGTTGACTATCGCATCCTAGACTATATATTTTCTGAATTTCTGCATAGTTTCTTTTTCTACTATCTAATTTTTGTGTGGATCGGACTACTAGTGTATGCTTGTATGGTTTTACTGTTTTAGCATTGTATGAAAATATGGATTATGGTCCTATGGATTATCAAAATTCTCTTCTCGACTTCTATCTTTTTTTTTTTCTTCAACTGGGCTGCCCAAGTTCTAGGCGCCCGCCTAGGCGCTAAGCGGCCTGAATCCCCACGGCCACCTTGGTGCCGCCTAGCGCTTTTTGAAACACTGAGAGTGAAAGAGAGAGAGAGAGAACCCCTATGTTGGGGCGTACCCCCCTTAACTTACCAACTAGAGAGAAAAAGAGATATTTAGAGAGAGAAGAGAGATTTAAGTGTAGAGATTTGGATAGGGATCTTGAACAAGATTAAGGTTTCTTAGGGTTTTTCATGGCTTGCCTCTTCTTGTGAGATTGAATATGAACCACTGATTTGGGGTGACTTGTGGGGTACGATTTGCGCCTTCCATTCCATAAATGGACCATCAAAATCATGGAAGGTGCTAGAACCTTTATCCCCCATTCCTAAACCATTTTTCCATCAATAGAAATAAATAAAATAATTTTCATAATATAGTGCTTACCAAAATTATGCGCAACCCTTCCCATGCTTTCCAAAAATCCTTTGAAAGCTTCCTCAAGGCAAAATCTTTCCAAAAAACTTCAAAGCTTTCTCTTCAAGCCAAAGCTTGAACTAACACTAGAAAAGTTTCATTAGGGTGGGGTATGTCATCTTAGGTGGTACTTCATGAGCCCAACCCACATGCAGTGGTGGGCCCATTAACATATTGGGCCTCCCATGCAATGTTAAAATTATTAAAATTAATAATATGATTTTTATAAATCCATAAAATCAAATTTGAATATTTAAATCAATCTAAAATCAATATCTCTGTTGTTTTTATCTAAATTTGACAAATAAGATATACAGAGATTTAAAAAAATTCAAATAACAATTCTAAAAATCATATATCATTAAAAACTCACATAATTAAATTCATTAGATGGAAAAATGATCCATATGGTTTAGGAATTAAATAAATAAACACTGGGGCACTCCACCTTCAACTGTGGACTACGGTCCACATTTGCTTTATCAAACAGACAAAGTGTTTCCCATGACCTACAGTCCATGCAGGGGCTCATTAGTGGGTCACTGAAGTTTGGTCGATGAGCCAAGGGGTCGTAATCCCAGCTTCTGGATTTCAGGTTCTCCCCAGGAGACATACCAAGGTCACCTAGACCTGATACGACCACAGTTCCTATGGCGTATAAGGGTATCTCTCACACATGCATAAGCTTCACCCTGAAAGATGGTTCGCTTTTCCGAAAGGATTATCAGATATGCATGCTGTGTGATGGCTCGCGGATGATGCTTTGGCCCCCGTCTCTGAAGGCCACCACCGCACACAAGGGTCACACAGTCCTTCGGCTCACTCATTTGGGCATATTCCGACTCATCAAGGGATGACCTATTAGAACCCTTATCAGATAGTTTGCTATGCCCAGGTAACATAGGTTTTTTCCAACCAACTGGTCTAGCTCATCAAGCTCAGTCCGGTATCAGCAAACATCATTTGCTTAGTATGGTCCACACAGGACCACACTCCCATTGAGTTCATGTTCCATTATATAAAAATGTTTATTACAAGCACTCATAAGGCCTTTAATGGTCACACTCACCCAACAATCATGATGTCATCATCTTTAATCAAAGCATCGCAAGTGCTACTTTCCAATAAGAATGCACAGGTCATTGCAAAGCACCTTCTGTTGTACATTAAAGTTTCACCAAATTGCATAACGGACCATATTTTTAGCACATCCTTTGAATCTGATCATGAAAATTTTTCATTTCATGTAGAAAAGATGTTGGTGTGGATCTCTAAACACCAAACTGAGAATGATAAATAATGCAATACTGCAGCCACTGCAATGGAAGAATGCAAAAATGTGAAAGTCGTGTAAGTAAACTTCTCAGGATCAATACAAGTACTAGTTAGTAGCACTGCAAGCCATTCTTGTCACTTTTTCAGTCAGCAATACAACAATTTCAGACCATTAAGGAAGCACAATATCATAGTGCTTCGTTATTTCAAATGTCAACAATTTTGACCAATCATAAACTTCCAACAACTTTTCTCGGAGTTGTCAACAAGGTTTACAAAATGCAAATACGAATAAGTCCCAGAAAAAGATTTACGGATCACTAAAAAATATTGGATGGGCTTTTCACACTCCCAAAGGGTGCACACCAATAATGTGTCACAGGTTCTCCTTTTAAGCTATTCTTTTTTGAAGGAGGTGATTATATTACTAATATTGTACAAAAATACAAAAAAATTCTCACGAGAAGTGAGATGGCAGGCCACAAATCGAGTGCTCCATTATATCAAATAACAATAAAAAAAGAAGAAAAGAAAAGAAAAAACAAAAATGAGAAGGAAAAATAGGGACTAGGTAGATGGAGTTTGGGGAAGAAAGTGTCCTGGGTAGAAGAAAAGAAAGGGGATATGAGAAGCGACAGAGGGTCAGTAAAGAAAGAAGAAAAGGAGGGGGAGGGGTAGAAGATACCGGTAAAAGGATCCTGGCAAGAGAAGAGGGAGGAAAGGTGGGGGGAGGCGAAAAAGGAAAAAGGAGATAGGGTATACTCCTATACAAGGGCAGGACACCAAAACAGGTGCCTCGTATAATGATATACAGTTGACACAAAACAAGAAAAAAAATAAAAGTCTGGGAGAATCACCCAGAGATGTACGAGTATTGCAAAAATTAATAGAAGAGGGAAGGGGGTGACCCAAAAAACAGGTGCTAAGAAGTAAGGGAGAAAGAAGAGAGAGGCTACCTAAAACCAAAAGCTCAAAAGTACAGTAGTCCAGATCCAGCTGTAAAAAGCAAAGCATTAAAAAGAAAGAGAAAACAGGGAGATGGTTGGGAGAAGAGGAAGGGAGAAAAGACAACAGAAGAGAGACAGATCCATGTCAGTGAAAATAGAAGACTAGTAAAGGTCAACATAAAAGCAGGGTCCCCAAAGTGGAAGCACCCTCTTTAGCTACAGTGTCCGCCTTGGAGTTAGCCACCCGTCAGGTATGATGGAAGCCGACTAAAAGTTTGGCCTGCACAGATAAAATACATGATAAAAATGGTAGCTAGACACCAGGGGTACTGGAGCCCACAGAATAATATTGGTGTGGTCGATGAGCTTGGACCACAGGTACAGTTGGACCTAAAAAGACCTCCAAGCATGGCACTGGCCTCAGCCCATGAGGAGTCACATATGCCAAGGAAGACATTGAAGGATGAAATGGCATTACCCAAACAATCAAGGAAGATCCCACTGAAGCCACAAGGTCTAGTGTTACCCAAAGAGCAACCGTTGGAGTTTAATTTGATGACCCACTACTTGGAGTGTGCCAAAAGGAGAAGCGAGAGGGCTTGGAAGGGCAGGACTTAATAATGTTGCCCAGATGCAAGATGCGATCCAACATGGCAAATGAGTTAAGGAGAGTGGGGCTTTCCCAGTGCTTAAGATAGAGTTATATTGGCCTCTGAAAACCCCGAAACTCCTTTCTTGACAGATGGACCAAAGCATGGCTATGACAGAGGACCTCCAAAGGAAATTACCAGCTGCTAGTATGGAGGGGAGAAAAAGACAGAGAAAAGTGAGTGATGGACTGTTGGTGTTATCCATTGCGAGTTCAAATCTTTGTCAATTCCAGAGGCAGAAGGCCACTTGACAATGTAGAAATAGGTGTGCATGTATCTCCTTTGCTTCTAAGTATAAACAACAGTAATTTAACAGAGGAAAGCCTCTTTCTTGGAGCCCATGATGAGATTCCTACCAAGGATTGCTAGCCAACAGAAGGCTTGGATATTAGGTGGTAAGGGTGAGAGACAAACTTTGTTTAGGGATGATGGAGTGAAGGAAGACAACAACATGGAGAATGAAGAGATTTTAAAATTGCGAGGAGAGGTGGTCCAATGACCTTGTCTGGACCAGAGTTTGAGAGAAAGAAAGGTTGCAAAAGGTTTAAGAGGGCCAAAAAGTCTGTCTCTTGGTCAGATAGGGGTCTCCAGAAAGAGAATGTCCATGTGCCGCAGTTGAGGAGATTCAAAACACTAGGAAACCAAAGTATTGGGGGAACAAGATAAAAGAAAAGGTTAAGTCTGGTGGCCGATCCAAAGATCTGACAAGAAAAGAAATCTATCCTCAGCTTATTTTGAATTAACAGAAGCCAAAACGTGGTGGTGGCAGGTATAAATTCTTTTGTAAATCCTGGAGGAAAGATGGATAGGTCTGCGCAGAAAGAACCATCCATGAGGATCAGCTCTGTACTTGTGGAGTAGTATGCAGTGGTTGGTGAAGAACTACCACAATTTTCTTAGCAAGGTGAGGCTCATTGTTCTAAGGTTTCGAATGTCAAGGCCTCTAGAGGACTTGGGTTGGCAGACTTTCTCCCCGGCCACTAGAATTTTGCATTCGGAGGGGTTACTATAAAAAAAGACTCCACGAGTTGCTACAGGGTGACTGCGACTGAGGGCAGCACAAGGAATAACAACATAAACAAATGGGAAGGCTGGAGCGGCCTGCTTTGATGAGAGTAATGTGACCCCCAAGGGAAGAAGCGACCTTCCCACAGGGATCCTAAAGGGATTTTCGGGTTTTACCAATACACATGGTAATTAGAAGGCAAAGGATCATTACAACATCCCAGTCTAGACATGAAATCTAAAAAGACATAGGAGGACAACCAGTATAAAAGAGTAGGCCATATGATCCTGGGATTCCCAAAAGATGTTGCCAAATGTGGCAAAAGTTTAATCCCATGATTGGGGCGCAAAAATGGTAAAAAGGGATGGTCTGGTTCACCTTAGACCAGATGAACAGGCTGTCCTACTGCTGAAACCAGAACTAGACTGTATAGGCATGTATTTTACCATTTCAGTTCTTTTTTGGACGAGAATGGATTTAGAACCAGCTGCAGTCAAAGCCGGTGCGGTCCAATTTTGATAACAATAACCATAAAAAAAATATAAACATTGAGAAAGAATAACATAACCTCTCTAGTTCATCAGTCCGTCAAAAGCACCTCTGTGTTTACCCAGTATCACATAGCTGTTAATCAAGTCTACGGTACATAGAAGTTTGCACAATCAATTTACGAGGTTACCTTATAATACAAAAAGCAAACATCTACGTTGGAACTATATTTGCAAGTAACTACTTCATGAAGTCAAAGATACCTTTAACCCAAAAGATGTACTTGGTATATGACCAGAGTGTACGGTGGATGGGTTTACTGGAGTTACTTCTGTTTGTATGACGGAGTTGCTAATAGCTCCTGGTGAAGCTGAAGAGACCGATACAGCTTGGCTCTTTGTTCGATGATCATATAAATCTTGGGTTATTCTCATGAAAGCATTCCTTAATCGAGCTGCCATTTTGAAATAAAAAGAGGCAGAGTTAGGATGCCATCATTATTCTGTCAAGGAAAAGAAGCAAGTCAACAACCAAATAATCTCAAGAGCCTAATGGGGGGAGATGGCTTTACGAGGAATAGAATCCATGGTGCCTACTCCATTAATACACAGGTCTCGTTGGCCAAATGTCTTAAACAGAGAATGAAAGTAAACCTCGAACAGCTGACAAATCCCCTGTAATGCGGAACTGAATGAGAAGAAATATAGTCAAAGCATCCATTAATTATTACGCTGAAACTGAACAACAGATAGATAATTATAAGAATTCAAAAATTCCATAAAGGATATCTTCTGGTGTACCTCAAAAAAATCTACATTAACTATCTGTAATTTCTGCATAAGCCTTGCATACTTGTCCATCAACCTGTAAATACAAACAGACTGTGAAAGATAATGGAATATTCATATAATGTGATCAGTTTCTTTTACAAAATATACATACATAATGAGATAGAACTTTTACTAACAAACATAACAGCCAGTGAAACTTCAAAATGCAGTTCAAATGAACCAACAGCAAGTTTCACCTTAAAAGAGACAGTGAGGACCCTGTTTGAGCTCTGATTTCATCATCTTCCAAGTTTATAGAGGATGTCGTTGCAACTGCTGGTCTAGAAATACGGCTTGGCAGCTGACTGTCTTCATCAATAAAATCAGCTAGAAGATCCTCGTTTTCATCATCCACAACAGAAGCATCACCATTTACATGAGATGAGACACCCTCAATTACATCAGAAATCCCTGGACCAGTGCTCTGCAAGGTTCCAGTTCCACAATCTCTGTTACTACCTGAAATCCTGGCAGTGAAAGGATTTCCTTTCTCTACCCATAGGGAAAAACCGTCCTTTATGTCATGAATTTCAACTTGGTTAGGCATATTCTCTGTATATTGAACTAACATCTTCCGAGCAATACCATCAGATGGGACAATTAATGGCGCCCCATCTCCAACAAGACCTTCCAAACTTACGACTTGCATTGTATCTGGTGGAATTTGTTGCCAGGTCTCCTTCTCCAGAACCATCCTAAGTGCCTTGCACACAACAGAGTAAGTATCAGTAATACCTCCAGAGAAAGAAAATATAATCTGTGCAATTCAGTGCAAGAAATGAAATAGGCATTTATTTTTGCGACAATTGAAATGCATCCACACTTATTCAATATCTCAACCGGGTTCAAACATCACATATACCCATGTGTGTGTGCAGTCATTTTGACAGTCCCAGACACAAACACTGCAGCAATCGTCCCTCCCTCAAATCCACCACTTTGGATCAAGGGGTTAACTGGGTTAACTAAGTTGTCAGATTTAGCCTTTCATACCAGTGCCAGATTGGAACCCTTCTTTAGTTCTTTGTTAAATTGAAATTTTTTAAGCTTCCTTTACCATGCTCTAGCTTTGAAAAAAAACCAATGTCACTGCAATCGTAATCATGCAAGGGAGACCCACTAGAAAGCATGATCTCATAGCAGTAAAATTGAGTACCATCCAACTATCATTATAACTATGAGTTCATTCAGGAAGAACACTAAATCATCTTTACACGCAGAAAAACAAGAATTTCTGATGGAGGGAAATTTATTTTTATTTTTATTTTTATTAAATTTCAAAGGATGTATATTATAATTTTAGTTTTAGTTTTTTAGGGATTCTAGGGTTTTTTTTTTATGTGTTTCATAAGTACATATTCACAATTACTATTCATGAGTATTGTTTGTTGGGTTTCGTGGCATTTAAAGGCCTAGAAAAATGATACTTTATGGTAGAATATGCACTTCAATGGGAGTGCGTGTGTTGACTGACCATGGGTTGGGCGGTTTATGACCTTGATTATGTCCAAAACCCTTACCCCGGGGCATGTAGCACTATCAAGAAGGATTTACAGTGGGTCATCTCTTGTTGAGGTTGTAGAGAACATGTCCAAAGGTGATGTTTGTCGGCCAGGAGAACTATGTAGTCTCCTGTGTGCGGTCATAAGCCTGTGAGAGCACGAGTCAAAGCCCTATCAACCTTCCACATGGCATATGCACATGACAACAGCACTAATGGGAAGCAGGCCCTATAGAGGGACATACGTACATTTGCATAAAGAGAGTCCCCTTTGCACTGTGGTAACCAAGTGCAGGACTTGCTCTTAAAGAGAGGCATTGAAATCCACATTCCATGATCATGGTTCTTCTGTTTATTGTCCAACTTTGACAAATCAATCATGAGCCCTTACATCAAGAGTGTGGGTCATGGGTTTTTGTTGAGTTGGACAAAAAAACAGTAGTGGATTATGATACTTGGGTCCAGTGGAGTGCCCTTATTGTCGAGCCTACTTGAAAAATATTTTATTTTGGTATTACAAATGTTTTTATGATTTCTCTTACAAATTTTTCAGACTTGAAAATTTATTTCTGCTGTAAAATCCTTCAAAATGGCATTTCCATGATTTCTGAAATTTGGAAAGGCACATGTGGGACCCAGGATCCTACCCCACATGAGTGCCACCGATGAGCGCGACATTGGTCATTGTGGGGACCTCGTAATATCTCTTTGGGTGGCACACCTTGTTACTTTTATTTATGCGACATTTCTTTTTTGTTAAAGGTTATTTTAAGGGAATCTTTTAAATATTAAAAGATTATTTTAATTATGAGTTTGGTTGACCAAAACCCTAATTATCTTGACTTCCTATAGATTTTGGAAAGATATTATGATGTTTTGGATTGGTTATAATTTAAATTTAAATAGAAGTTGGACTTGGGTCAATTTATAAAGGGATAAGGTTCCTAATAATCATCTCGAAATCATGATGGCAGATTTGTGGGATGGATGACTAAGATTTGTTCTCTCTCACCCCACAGATTTTCTAAGTTCCTATTGGTCAAGTTGTATCATTGGATAGGCAATATCTAAGAAATTTTAATCCAAATAGGAGAAGAAATTCTTTCTATTTAAATACCATTGAGCCCTTTCTCAGCAGACACATTTCTCCCTTCCATGCACCAAGTCTCTCTCTCTCATTAAAAATTCATTTTTCTCTCTCCCCCCTTCCAAAACGAGTCATGCCACCAAAAATTTGATAAGACAAGGGTGACACATTGAAACCTTAATTAGGGTTTTGTTGTTTGGAGAAGAAAAAAGGGTATGCCCAGCCATAGGAGGATTCTATGCCTTCAAGCCCAGCCCTAATTTGTTCCTAAGGATTCCTACAAACCCTAGTTAGGCTTCCATGCTCTCTAAAACCCTAGAGTAAGAGATATTACCTATAAAGGCTACCCATCTCTAAAATTCCAGAAGGATCAAAAGTGACAAAAATGTGCTATCAATAAGGGAATCGGGTGTGAGGTGGATCAAGACCAAGAACCTTTTAGTATGTCTTCGTGGTAGATTTAATTATTTTTCAGTATTATTTCATATTTTCTGTGAATTTTGAAGACCATATATTGTACTTTAAACTATAGTGGAAGATTGTTTATTGCTCTTGGATGGTTTTTATTTGCTTTGACAATAAAAGTAAAGATCCCAGGTTGTATTTAGGGTTTTAAATTTAATTTACAGTAGTATATAGTGGCCCACGTAAGTGGAATTCAAGAATATTGACTAAAAGAAAAAGTATTTTTTTTAATCTAAAACCTTAAGTTCCACATAGCCACTCCTTTCACTATTCAAAGGCATAAAATTATCATTACGAATTCTAAGTTAAGTTAGGATATATGAGTCAATGTATTATTTGTTTGGACACTTTTTGTACTTAGATTATTAAAATATGATATGTAAGAGGTGTGTGGCCCTGAGGGGGTCATTCCACATGATTTTTTTGAAATTGAAAGAGAGAAAATCTTAGGCTTTTGGAACCCTAGCTTGGCTGCGGAGAAGAACCCTAGGTTTCTTTGACTTGTGCTTGTGCTTGGCTTGTTTCTTGCCAATTTTAATGTTTTCTCAAATTATCCTGCATAAACCTTCCAAGTATTTGGGTCGCTTCCATGTTAAATTATAAATATGAAATCAAATCTCAGTTTTAAGGATACATGAGATAACATTTGTATGTATTGTAAACGGTATCATAAATGCTCCAGTGAACTATGAATTCTTATTAATTGTACTTGACCAAAATCTAGTATTAAAACCACTCAACCTCAATTCTAATACTGTGATTAAGATTCCTACATCAATTTCTCTTTGATAGTATAAGTGCAAAGCTGTCTACACTAAAATCGAATATTTTGGCAGGTGCAGCTGATTGGTTCCTTGCACATAAGGATAGTGGCTTCATTCCTAAAAGTCTATCATTAGCAATCCTTCGGGAGTAGTGACTATGGGTGTTACCATCAACACTCGTAGTGAGGTTGTTTGGATACCACCACCAGTGAATTCCTTCAAACTTAATTTTGATGGAAGTTCACTTGGCAATCCAAGGCCAGCCGGCTATGGTGGATCATTAGAAATAGGGTCACATTATTTTTTCTTACCTGGGGCCTTGTGGCATCACAACAACAAATGAGGCAGAAGTACGAGGTATTAGAAGGTTTGAAATTGCTATGCACTTTGGAAGGGGACATGATTATCGAAGGAGACTCAGCAAATGTCATTGCCTGGAATAAGAGAAAGGCAAAAATCCCTTGGAGATTAAGGACTATTTTTCATCAAATTTGGGATATTTTGTCAACCTCTATGGCAACTGTCCAACATTGTTATAGTGAGGCGAATGAAGATGCCGATGTTCTTGCTAAAGGAGGAGTCCATACTCTCTCTTTGTTGGTTATTTCTTTTCAGTAATATTGTGACATTGCCTGAACATCTTGTATTTTACATATGAATTAATAACAAGTCGTACGTTACTGTTAAAAAAAAACAGATTCGTACATCAATTTCAATACCAAGGGAACCCCTATTCAGGTTATTATGACCTTTGAGGATCTCGATTCCAATACCAGGGAACCATAGCAAAGAATACTCAATACATCAGTTCCAATTCAAAGGGATTCTTGCATAATGATTACTCTAGAACCTTGAACCTTTTACCCTATGAAACAAATTTCCTCATGATTTCTCATGTGATTCTAGGTTGTTGGGGTGTGCGATCCCATAGATGCTGAAATCTCGATTCAAGTTAGGCTAAAACTCGTTAGGAATCTCGATTCCACCTGTTTGAAACTCGATTCCAAACTGGTATGAATGTCGATTCCAATCAGTGTTTTAAAATGCTTGATGCGGCCAAAAGCAATGGGGGGCTGATGTGGCTCGATGCCGTCTGGATGCGAGTGCATCGCGAAGATGCGGTCAATAAATATAAAAAAATTCTAAAAATCCTAAACAAATAGGTTAATGCATAAAAAAAATATGGAAGTGATATATGTGATAGTATGTATTTTAGTTTAACGATTAACTCCAAAAATATTAGCTGTCGGAGATCCTGTATCCACTATCCCTTGATAGAAACTACAAACTTGAAATTAATTTCATAAAACATTCAACAATCAACAACCATACACACAAATTTGCAAACACAAACTTTAAAGTTACAAAATAGTGATACTACAAATCAAAAGTCCATGTCTCCATAAGCACAAATCAACAACCAAAAGGTTCAAATCAAGATTCAAGTATCAAACAATCCCCAAATCCAAGATCTCAATGAAAAACTATTTCTACCTTTTTTTTTTTTTGCTCGATTTGATCCCAAAAAAGCCACGAAAGTGGTAAATGCTAGTTTCGGAGGTTAATACCCCCCAAACTATTTCCCCCAATTTTTGATGGCCAAAAAGACCATTTTGCCCATCCCCGAGGGGCACAATCGAAAACAGTATGCGGCCAGAAGCGCTATGCGGCTCTGATGCGCTATGATGCGGCACATATGCGCCCCCATACTGCCAAACTGCATATGCGGTCTTTTCCAATGCGGTTCCCACCGCATACCGCTTGATGCAGGCACCTTTTAAAACACTGATTCCAATTGGTCTGAAACTCAATTCCATTTGGGTTTGAACTCGATTCCACAGAGGTAGGAATCTTAATTCCACTTCGATCGAAACTTGGTCCCGATAAAGTAGGAACCTTGTTTCCTGCAATTCCCCATATGTCCAGACAACCTTTCTGACAACATGAATCTTCTAGCCACCCATGCGGTGATTCTGATTCCTAAATCGGATTGAAATCTCAAGCTTTGCGACAATAGTGGTTCAAGATTGAGATCTAGATCATCATTTCAACAGATTGCAACCTCACTTAAAATAGGGGCACAATATTAGTTTAGAGGGATTTCTATCCCAAAGGGAGTTGCAACATTTTGAATTTCAACCCATGTCTTTGATTTCGTGTTGTCTTTGTGCTTTATGACGATTTCTTAGCTAACCATCACTAGCAGGCCATTTTGTTTTTTGTCTTGATGGTCATGGATTGACCAAGCAATAGAAAACTAGCAAGCCGACTCAGAATCGCTCAGGTCTCCTCAGAACGTGGGGTGCCCACCCATAGTTGTTGGAAACCCCTAGGAACCCGAATCGTTTTAGGAACCGAAATCAGGGAATCGCCCTGGCTAGAAGATTCCTATCTTAGGAATCGTTGTTGCTACAATAGGTATCGTGGGGAACGAGATTCCTAGTTTTTAAGAATCGTGTTTCGACTGAAATAGATCCAAGTTTCATCCACATATGGAATCGAGATTCGATCCTCCGTGGAATCGAGATTTTTACCCCCTGGAATCGATACTTTAGGAGTCAAGATTCATTCATATGTGGAATTGAGTTTCCGACATCTATGGAATCGAGTTTCTGACATATGCGGAACAAATATACGTTATTGTTTCAAATCGTGATTCAAATTTGAATATATTTGGAATCAAGTTTCTGAAGTATATGGAAGTTTGAGATCGAGATTTAGAATAATATGGACTATGAAATGCGTTTGACGACCTCTACTAGGAATCGAGATTTCATTTTTATGGAGAAGTAAGCCCAAAGCATATCTTGAGCCTTATCAACTTTAGAACCTATATTGGATGTCTCTTATTAGAAGGTTTCCTAAATTTTAAAGTGATTGTGTTGACTATTGAACTTACGGTCACTATATACAAAAGATGAGTATTTCTAAATTGTGATTTTGACTTCATTATCATAAATACAAAATAAGATTATGTCTACGCCATGGTTTTACTTTTAATTGTATGTGTTGTATTTACAAGTTATATTTAAAATTTAAAGTAAAAGCCTTCTAGGGTGGCACAAGTAAAATAATGAAAACCTACAAACACTAGAAACATTCGAAGGAAGATTTTTACTCCAATTTCCTTTAGGAAGTGCACAACCATCATAGACATTGGACATTATGTACTATGAATTGTATTTTTTTTTTTTTTTTTGACACTTTGAATTTATTTATTTTTTAATCAGGATTTAATCCTCGCAGGAATACAGATTCGATATATTTGGGAACGTCTACCCATAATTACTGAGTTCAAGTTTCTAAAGATGTGTTGGATTGAGATTCTGAAATTAAGGAATCGAGTTTCCTTGGTTCCGATAAATGGTTTCTAAAGATGTGTTGAATCGAGATTCTGAAATTAGGGAATTGAGTTTCCTTGGTTCCCAAAAATGGTTTCTAAAGATGCGTTGAATTGAGATTCGAAATTTAAGGAATCGAGTTTCTTTGGTTCTGAAAAAACGGTTTCTGTGAAGATTCCTTAACGGAAACGAGGAATTGGGTTTCGGAACCTGAATCGCAAGGTCGGTGGAGAGATTTTGGTAACTATGGTGTCGGTTATGTTACCTAAAACAGGTGGTTCAATGTAGTGAATGACTTGGTTTATTGTAGGCAATCGAGCTATTCTAGAGTTAGACACTTATCATGGCCTGGCAATCTCATTTTTCTCAGTTTTTTATGGAACTTTCATGCTATGAGTTCTCATTGGGTATGTGTACAGAAAATGACAAGATATTGGATTATACATTTTTCAAAGTTTTAAATGTTCCATTAAAATATCATATACAAATACAAACATGCGTGCATGCACACATACATATGTACATATAAGGCGCTCCTTAAGCACTCCCAGACACGTACATCTATCATGCCGCTTCTAGGCTGCAACCCAAGCAGCAGTCCTAGGTGCTCCAAAGGTAGGGAGCTTCATCCATGAGTCAATCCCAAGCTCCAACACCCGCTTTTGCACCCAACAACTATGATTTGAAGTTTTCAAGAACACTGCTGATTTCTTTGAAATCTTTCGAACTCAATCTGGATCATTTCACTAAATTCCAATCCATGACCCAAGATAATATCTCCTGTGAAACATCTTCCATAAGCTTCTCATGACAACACAACCTTTAATCAGATGTCAAATCTTCACATTGTTTAGCAGAATCCCCAAAACCCACACAATTATTCGGATAACAGTTCCACTTAATAGAAAATAATCTTAAGTTTTGACAGTATGTGAAGCTGTTCACATATCCTTGCAATCCGTTACATATTGATGGCCACTCCACAAATGTCACTCAAACTTATTAGTATTAAGTTGCACTTAGTGTTGAGTACCATGAGAATCAGGCACAACACACTTTATGTCAGTCACATAGTACATCAGAAAGCCGCCATAAAGATCAAGTTAATTGATACTTCATCGTAGGCAACACACTATATACGGTGTTATGCTAGCATTTACCTGAGCATTTTCTGCACCAATGCATTCAAGGTGATTACATAGTGTCATCAGAAGAACAGGAAATATCATCTCATTCGTAACCCATGTCAATGTTAATCAACTAAGATAAATGGAACATCAAAGAAATACTTCTCAAGCATTAAATTAAAATATTTAATACTTCCTAAGTGTAATCTAACGTTACATAAAATTTAACAAAGATCAATGGAACATCAAGGAAATACTTCTCAAGCATTCAATTGAAATATTTAATACTTCCCAAATGAAATCTAACATTTTAACATAAAAGTTCACTAAAGCAAAGACTCAATCAATTAAACCACGCACTCATTCAAGACTACTGATAAGAACTACATGAACATCCTATCACGAGATGTAAACATCACGGGACTAAAAAATGGTCAGCCAATATTCAAGAAATATATGCACAAGGGAAGTCTTCATACATCAATACTTTGCCGATGAAATGCTCCAAAATAACTTCTGCAGACAGTCTTTAATCGCTGCCTAAAATCAATAGCTTCAGTGCCACAAAATGCCTCACCAGCCAAGATGAATGTGTTTAGATCCTCGTAATTCCTCAAGAATTGGTGTGTGTTCGTTGAATAAACTGCATCACATGAGAGCAAAACTGAAACACGACTTGTTGTGAGCTGCCAAAGATTCTTTCGACCTCTTTGCAATGCTTGTGAAATGAAAAGAACTGCATCCTTCTTCAATTGATCACAAGGGGAAGTGCTGCTGGAAGCAATTGGAGAGTCATCACCCGCTTCGTGAGCAGATCTCTGGACATCGGCAGTCATCCCATCATCACATGCAACCTGCAATAAAGAATCCTTACAACAAACACCTTCTGAACACCCTGAGTCACCATTCTGCGTACTTCTATTGCCTATCCAAGGTACATCATCTGGTCCATCACCCGCTGCTTCTGAATCCTAAGATTGCAAGAACAAAAACACAAAAGGAATCAATATCAGCTAAATATTGGATGATGAAAATAGTTACATATCAATAAAAAATTTATCATTGTTTTTGGGTATTTTAAAAAAAAAAGTACTACAAATTGAAAATACAAGCAAAAGCACCAGCATATCAAACTTTGCACTAACAGACCCAGCATTCAAGATATGCATATGATAAGAATGTCTAATATGTAGCACATTAGTCACCAGCGGTGGTGGTGATTGATTGCATCTAAATGTCTCTCAAGTTCAAATTACAAACAGAACGACCAGTATCTAAAACTTTGCATTAAGAGACCAAGCATTCAAGATATACACATGATAACAATGCAGAATATATAGCATATTAGCAGCCAGGAGAGGGAGTGATTGATTGCACTATGAGAAGATATCCCATGATTTTAAACATCACAAAGTTGTAAACTGAACTGATAAAGGATAATACAGATGTGACTTACTCACGTGAAACAGATGTGAAATGTGCATATAAGTGGGAGAGGCAATGTAGGAAGAGATCATTTTCATTAGAAATCATTAAGGAATTGCAACTTTAAGGCGAGCGAACTATGAGTACAAGATTCCCATCTCTAAGAACCCACACAGGAAAATTCAAAACACAATGAAGTACACATTCTAAACCGGCTACAGAAATGCTCAATGATCATATATGAGAGTAGGAGTGGTAGTGGCAGAGGAAATTTTTCACTAGTAGAAAGCTCAATATGGCAGAATCGGTTTAATAGCCAGGCAAATGTTTCATACAAACTAACTCCCTGACATCATCTGCACAACTATCCCAGAGAACTTCTTATGAGTGAACTGAGCAAAAGCCCCAGAACTTATATTGCCAATTTATGTAATTTATAGCCATGTAGCAAAGTATATTCCACTCCATTGAGCCTTGCAACAATGGATGACAGAAAAGTTGAGTCTAGTAGGGCCACAGCGCTTTGAAACCATCAAGGAATGAGGAACAGCAAATAGTTAAAAATCCCACACCCACATCCAAAGATGCTAAGAAGAAGACAAAATGCTTCAATAAAAGGTATTTTTTATGTTTCTAAGATTTCATGAAGTGTAATTTCCTGCATATATCTACAAAAAGGAAAGTTTGCATTGCAACAATAACAAGAAGTGTAAGACCAACTACACTTCTTGTTATCGTATATAACAAGAGGAGTAAGACCAACTACATCTACAAAAAGGAAAGTTTGCGTTGCAACAATAACAAGAAGTGTAAGACCAACTACATCTACAATAGCATATTAGCAGCCAGGAGTGCTTGTGATTGATTGCACAACGAGAAGATATCCCATGATTTTAAACATCACAAAGTTGTAAACTGAACTGATAAAGGATAATACAGATGTGACTTACGAGGGAAATGTGCATATAAGTGGTAGAGGCAATGTAGGAAGAGATCATTCTCATAAGAAATCATTAAGCAATTGCCAATATTCTTTCTATTATTAAAAGAAAGAATAGAAAAGGAAGAAATGATAATACAAACATACCTTTCCAGGAAGCTGGAATGCCATTATGTCATAATATGAGCACATCAAATTAAATAGTACTTCCAATGTCCTTAACAAACACTGCCTAAATTTTGATTCCGGTATCTGAAGACAGAGATCACTGTAGGTATGCCTGCAAAAGCAAACATATATTAAATGTTGCTGAATATGGGTGCTCGTTATTGCGTAATATGTTAGAATAATAGTAAGCAATTAATATTTGCATGGTGTAGTGTCACAAAATACATCTGATGGAGGGCTAAATTATACTTATTTTTTTATTCAATTTCAAAGGACGTAAGGGTTTTATTTTTAAGGTTTTTAAGTCTTTTTAGGGATTCTAGGGCTTTTCTTTTTACTTTTTATTTACTCTTCACAAATTACTGTTCACACGGGTAAAATTGTCATTACAAATTTTGTGCTTACGTTGAATATTTTTGGGTCATAAATTATAGACATTTAGTGTCTTTGAATATCAAATTAAAATATATAAGAGGTGGTAGGGCCTTGAGAGGGTCATTCCACCTGATTTTTTGATATTCAAAGAGAAAGAAGAGCTTAGGCTTTTGAAACTCTAGCTTACATGAGGAGGAAACCTTAATGTTTTTTCTCAATTTTGCTTGTGTTTGGCTTGATTTCTTGCTATTTTTACTGTTCTCTATAAATCCCTGCATCAATTTAGTAACAGAGTACAGGTTTTCTCCAACAACAAAGCTGGGAAATAATAAGCAAGCCTAGAGCATGCTGATTTTGGGCCAAATTTTACTAAATTCAGCCTAGATCTTGCTATTTCAGTGAGGTTTTGAGGATTCTCTGCCTAAGGCTTTGATTTCAATGAACCCATGGCAGTGAGAAGGGCCCATGTAAAGGGGCTTTCATAGACCCACTTTGTGATATCAAAGATGAAGAAATTGAGGAACTTAAAAGGCAAGTTAAGCAGTTGGTGCAGCAGTTTGTGAACATCATTCATGGGCAAGATGTTGATCTTTCCACCCAAGAAGATGTCGAGTACAATCCTTTTCACCTCCGTACTCCACGTGAAGAGTCGAGTGAAGAAGAAAGTGATAGAAGACCAGGATGTAGAGAACATCACTCTGGGGTTTTCGATTTGAAGGATAACACTATTTATTTTGACACAGGTTATATAAAAAAACAACAGGCTCTAGACTAGGATTTGCCACCAATTTTCAATATTTAGTAAGATGAACAAGAAGACGTCTTAGGAGATCCAATCTATGATGAGGGCCAAAATTTCGTGGTTAAACCAATCTTTGATGAAGAAAAAGATGAAGATGTCAAGGATATCGAAGAGGTGGAGCAGTCAACAGATTTAGGGCATTGGAGTCAGAGTAGCACAAAACAAGCTTGGTCGATTCAGACACCGCAATATGTGACCATGGTTTCAAAGAGTAATGAAATAGACGTTGAAAGCTTCTAAAGGCAAGAAAATTAAGCTTGAAGTTTCCTACACAATTTTCAATGCGAGTTCAGGGATGACCAAAATTGATAAGTTTGTATCAACTCCTTACTGTACATACCATGATTCGTTGCTTGGGGATTTCTTTTTACCACGAATAATCTATGAGCCATCAAAAAAGAAGGTTGAAGAATGTAGTTTTGATGCTGAATTCATCTTAACACATTTTAAAACTCGAGGAAGATTTTCCCCCAGCCATAAGAGAATGATGGAGGTCAAAATTATAATTGTTTTTAATTTTTATTCAATTTCAAAGGATGTATATTTGATTTTAGGTTTAGAGTTTTTAAGTATTTTTAGGGATACTATGAGTTTTCTTTTTAGTTTTTATTTACTATTCATTGGTCACTATTTTTTTTTGATGTTGTTAACTGTTAGCGTTGCACATCGTCAGCGCTAACCAATATAGCCTAGGCTCTTTTCCTATTAGTGCTGGTATGATACTATCGGTCACCATTCATAGGTACTATTTATAGATATTGTTCATGGATTACTGTTCACAGGGTAAATATTACGAATTTTGTATCAAACATAGGACTTTTTAGTCATTTTGATTATTGTATGGACATTTAATGTCTTTGAATATTAAATTAAATATATAAGAGGTGGTAGAGCCTTGAAGGGGTCGTTCCACATGATTTTACAATTTGAAAGAGAATAAAAAACGCTTTTGGAACCCTAGCTTGGGTAAGGAGGAAACCTTAGGGTTTTCTTCGAAATTTTGCTTGTGTTTGGCTAGATTTCTTACTATTTTTACTGTTCTTTATAAATTTCCTACATCAACATCCTAAAGAATGGTAAAATGTGTAGAATAATCAAAGATATCAAACTTTGGACAAGTAATACGTACATCATATAATTAAAACAACTGACAACAAATAGCATATCGTGCATGATATTTAATGCTCTCATTAAGGCCAATTTTAAACAATTTATTCAATGCATACTCTCTTTGTTTTACGGGCAGTTGTTTCTTTTATGAGCTCCCGCTCCATATAGTTATAGATTTTCCATAAAACTAATCTTCTGAAGAGGATTCAGTGAGTATCAAGATCAGTGCACCATCAATCTTGGAGATCCGGAAAGGGGTATACTAAATTTCTTCAGAGGTGATCTTAAGGCATCTTTGTTCCCGGTAATTATAAGGCTCTCTTGTTCTTATTCTTTGTTCATGATTTGTTTTGTTCTTGATTTATATTTAAAGTTATAATTCATCGTTCTTTATGAAAAAAAGTTTACGTTCATGGTAGTAACAATTGATCCCTAGATTGTTGTAGGGTTTTATTTTGAATAGCAATTGGCCTACGTAAGTAGACTAACCGGCATAAATAAGGAAAGAAAGAGAAAAACATTTTAATACATATATTGTGTTAGATTAGTCTAAGAGGGGTGAGGACCTTAAACTTTCTCTTAACTCGTCCCAAGCCCGGGTAAAGGAGGTAGGTTGTATTAGGTAAGCAGCCGACATAAACTTTTGTTAAAACTTTCCATGAGCCCGAATCTACGTTATTTGCTTATCTTGTGCTAGATCTACATTGACATCTTTCATTTTTTACAAAAAAGTATTAATTTGTTTTAACGACAGGACTCTTCTAGAAATATTATTTTTATTTTTTAAATACCATAATTGGAATTTACAAACAAGGATGGCATGTTTATTTTCATCATATCTATGCCTTTTAAGAACATATGTCAGGGCCACCCTAGACCACACGGAGAAATGTGGGACCCACTCCAATGAGTTCCACGTGGAGGACATATGTAGAATCTATGGGTGGCACACCCCACTCCTTTTTGGTTTTTCTTTTTGTCATGTTTCTTCCAAGTTCTATAAAACTTGAGGTAATCAACCAAATCCTCTTGGATCTGTGGAATCCAAGGAGAATAAGAGTTGTCTTAAAAAAGATAACAGTTTAGGATGAGTACTAATTAGACTGAGATTCCTACTTTTTATGGATTTCTAGGATGTTTTGGTCCTAATCATATAGGAAGTTTGTTTGGGAAAGTTCCTACCAAGGATAATGGTGCGATTATAGTTGTGGGGACCTTGGTCTTGGGGGTTGGGGGGAGGCCCCCCTTGAAATCTCACTTCAATAATTTCTAAATGGAGCCCAAGTAGAGCTGGCTACATCCACTAAGGGAGCTCAATCCCCATTTTATAAGGATTTCGATCCCTGACAAAAGGGGATCTTGACTGCCTTGGAAGGGGATTGCGATCCCATTGAAAACATAGCATTACCATGTTTTGAAGCGATCCAAATCCGAAGGCAAGTTTCAAAATGCTTTGAATTCTAAACCCAACTTCTTTGATTTTATGTTATTTCTTATTTTTTATCAATTTTCTAGCTAACGACCTCCTAAAGATGATTTTCGTTTTCTAGTTTCATGGTTGTGATTTACATAAGCGGTTCAAAACTAGTGAACAAACTCAAAATCGCCCGAGAGAGCTCGGAGCTAGGGGGCTCCCCAATCCCGTATAGTCATCCAGAAGAGGGGAATTGCCACGGTTGTCCACAATCAGGCGGTTCTAATTATAGTGAATCGTCTTATCTTGTCTGGTTAGGGACTCACGCAATTCCTTATTTCAGTTCTTTTTATGATCCTCCAATCTTATTTTTCTCATTTTTATGAGACTTTCAAGCAGTAGAGTTCTAATTGTGCATGTGTAGATAATGTTAAAAAGCGGGTTATACGTTTCTCAATTTTTAACTCACTCTAAAAATAAAATAAAAGAGAGAGAGAGAGAGTGCTCTCTACGAAAACCAATGCACATGTCGCACATATATCAAGCTGCTCCCATGGTAGGAAGCTTCAGCCATGGGTTGATCCCAAGCTCCCATCTCCTGCTCCTGAAGCCAACCCAGCTCCCAACAACTATGGGTGTGATTCCAGCTCCTATATCATGATGGCTGATCTAAGGTTGCTGATGAAGATATAATCTCTCACCCCTTAGGTTTCCCACTTGCAGTAGATAACAAAGAACTCTATCTCCATATGTACCTTAAACCATGCATATATCGAAACATACTCTCTCCCCATGTTAATTCATTCACTTTTTTACCTCTAGAAGCGAAAAAAGAAAGGTGCACAGTGAGCTAGAGGCCTATAGGGAAACCATGGGGAGGGGGGGCAGGCAGAGAGAGAGAGAGTCATGCATCGTTAAGGTTTTTATAGTGTCCCTTTTCAAGAGAAATGTGAGATAAACCTTGCTTCTTTGTCATCTCTCAATGCGCGCTTCTATAACATTTTGTCACCAACCTTGAAGAATAATCTCTCTTCAAACTAGGTGTAACATCAGTCTAGGAAAACAATAAGGGGCGTAATAAGTCCTTGGGGGTGACGTTTAGCAGTTTAAGCAGTTTGTTGTCTCAGCCTACAGATTTCAGCTGTCTTCAAGCCCCTAGTTCTTCATGTGGCAGCAACATTCCTTAGCACAAAATATGCCTACTTTGTTTGGTTTCGAGTATACTTTATTTCTGTAAAATTTCGTGGAGAACTCATGCATATTTTAGGAGATATAGCCTTCTTACTGCAAGGTGGTCTTCCTGTTTTTGTGCAATAAATTGCTGAGAAATTTTCAAAAGTAACACCTTGTGCTGCACACCCCTTATCAATCACATGTTGGTCAACCAATTCACCCACACCGCCATTCCAAA